GGGGCACAGATGTGACCCCCCCAAACCCCCCAGCCCTGACCTGCAGGGGTGATTGCTCCGGGCGCAGGGCAGGCTGCTGACCAGGATGTAGCTGTGCACTTTGGGGTCGATCTCCACCAGCCGCAGCCCGAACGTCTGCGGGAGGAGAGGGGTCAAACCCGGGGCGGGGGCTCCACCCCAAAAGCCCCCCGGCCCCTCCCCACCTCCTGCAGGATCCTGCCCGCCTGGCTGACGATCTCCGTGTAGGCGTCCCGGTATTCCCGGATCACGTTCTTCAGCATATCTACGGCGAACACCCAGGGAAGGGCTGAGGGAGCTCCGGGAACCCCGAGGGCAGCGAGGCTCGGGGGGTCCCAAAGCCGCGGGAGGGGGCTCTGCCCTGAACTCACCTGCTCTCTTGATGGGGATCTTCTTCTGGTCCTTCACGAGCAGGAACTGAACCAGCTCGTTGGCCTGTGGAGGAAGAGGCAGAGACGAGACAAGGGTGGTAACAGAGGAGTGAAGGCACAGGACAAGGAGGAGAGGGGTCACCTCAACCCACCTTCTGGTTCACCTGGTCCGGGGAGTACCGCGCCTGCTGGGTGGGGATGAAATCCTCGTCCCCGTCGGTCACCTGAGGGGAAAGAATGGAGAGAGGGGGGCGCTGCTGCTGGGGAAGGGAAGGGGGGAAGCGGAGGAGGAGAAAATGGGGCGAAGCGGAGCAGTGAAGAGGAGAGGGAATGACAGGGAAGAAGAGAAGAAGGAAATGAAGAGGAATGAAGGAGGAAAGGGAAATAGCCCCTCACCTGAGAGGAGCCGACCCCTTTACTGCGCTTCCGCTGGGACATTTCTCACAGCAGCTCCGGGGGAAAAACAAACGCCGGGTGGGCCAAAACCACGACGAGACCGCCCCAAAGGCCGCCCCTCGCCTCTTCCCTCAGCGGGAAACCCACCCCTGTACTCCCTCAAGGCCCGCTAAACGCTCCGGCCCCGAGCGCGACCCGTCACCGACCGCGCTCTGCCCGTGACTGCGCCCGCCGGCCGCGCCCGCCCCGCAGGGCCCCGCCCAACCCGTCGCTCATTGGCCACAGCACCGCACTCGTCCCACCCGCCGCGACGCGATTCGTCCCAGCACAGCCCCCGTCCCGCCCACCGCGACGCGATTGGCCGAGCGCCCGCGCTGACTCCACCCCTCTCCCGGCCGCAGCGAGGGCAGTCACGTGCTCCCCACGCCCCGCCCCCTCCCGTCCCCTCAGGACGCGGAAAAGGCGCGAAGAGCGCTAAAAACGATGCCAAACACCCCCAAGCGACCCAAACAGGCCCATTTTACCCTCCCCTCGCCTTAATAGTGAGTATTTGGATAATAACGGATGTATTTGAAGCACCTGCGTTGCCCCCACCCCCCTGGAATCCGCAGTCAGGGTCCTTCCCGCAGGTGAAGAAGCGACAAAATGGCGGCAGAGCCTGAGGGGGGTTTGCGGTCCGCGGCCACCCCCCGGCCTGGCCCTGGTTGGGAGGGGACCTTCACCTCCCCCCTGTGCAGCTGAGGGTGCTGTGAGGGGTAAGTGGGACAGTTTGGGGGGGAAACAAAGAGTGTACAAGGGGGTTTGGGGAGCTGTGGGACCTCGGAGGGGGGGTGCGTGTGTGGTCCAGGGCGGCTTTTGGGGTGCTCTGCAGGGTTGAGGGGGCTCATTCAGTGTCAAAGGGGGGGAGTCACAGAGTGCTATGGGGGATGGAGAAGGCTGTGGAGGTGCAGAGTGTCTGAAATAATGGGGCTGCACCCCCAGTGTTGAGCACCCCTGGGGCCCAATTTTCTGAAGCCCCCCCTGAGAGCTGAGCACTAAATTTGCCGAGTCAGCAGGAAAACGGGGTCCCCTCAAATTCGGGGTGGGGGGAACCATCCCCATCCCCCCCAGCTGTGAGATGAGGTGAGTCCCCCAACACCCCCCCGTGGGGGTCCCTCCTCCTCCCACTCCCCCAAAGCCTCCACAGTCCAACCTCCTGCTTGAACAACCCCCAAAATCACACCTTCCGGACACACCCCCGTCCCAGCAGTCCTTTTATTTCAAAAAGGGCTTTTTTTAACCATTTCTCACTTAAATAAAAATAAAAAGCTCTAAGTCTGTGGTTCAGGTGCCTCAGAACTGCATGGCCGCCTCCAGCGTCTCCGAGAGCTTCGTGGCGATTTTCTCTGCGGGATCGAGGGGGGGATCAGCAATTTCGGGGGACAGCGGGGGGGGGGGGGGGGGGGGGGAGGAAAAAATGGGGGGTCTTCACCCACCTGCTCTTTTTTGCAGCTTTTTCCTCCTTTTCCCGGCCGCCCTCAGCCCCTGGCCCTGGAGCAGGGGGGGCAGAGCAGCCACCTCCTCCAGACTGGGGGCGCGGGGCACCGAGTCCCCCCCAGAGCCCCCCGACTTCACCCGGGGCTTCAGCTCCACTGTCACTGCGCCGAGCTGGGGGGGGAGTGTCAAAATTAACTCATCACCCCCCAAAAACACCCCCCACCTCTGAGAACTCCTTCCCACCTCCAGGTCCTTCCTGCTGTCATCCTCCATGGCTGCTCCTTCCTCCTCCTCCTCCTCCTGGGGGGCACACGGGGACAGCCCCAGCCCCGTCACCGTCACTGGCACAGCTGGGGGGGGGGGGGGCGGGGGGGTTTTTGGGGGGCTCTGAGGGGTTCACAGGGGCGGGGGGGTCGCTGTTCACCTGCCAGAGCCTCGGCGTCCCCCCGTTCCAGAGCCTCCAGGTCCAGCTCCGGCCCCAGCGCCGGCAGGATTTGGGCCTCCAGCTGCACCCCCTGGGCCTCGGGGGGGTGGGTGTAGTAGGAGATCTTCCCACTGCGCCACAGGGGGGTCGGGGACCCCAGAAAAAGAGGTCACAGGGTGCGAGAGACACCTCCCCCAACCTCCCAAAACAGGGGTCAGGGCATGGGGAGACACCCCCCCCCCCAGGCCCTGAAAATGGGGGTCTGGGTGTGGAACAGCCCCCCCCAGGCCCTGAAAATGGGGGTGCAGGTGTGGGGCAGCCCCCCCCCAGGCCCTGAAAATGGGGGTCTGGGTGTGGGGCAGCCCCC